CTTTCTTTCTTTCTTTCTTTCTCCCCTTCCTTCCCTTTTTTACTGTATCGTCATTTAGCTTCTTCCTTCATTCCTTCTTGGATCTCTGTGTGCATCTATACAGCAGAATGAATGCAATCTGACACCACTTTTACTACCATGGCTCAATGCTATGGCAATCCTAGGTATTGTAGCTTCGTGAGGCACTAGCACTCTTTGGCAGAGAAGACTAAATATCTCATGATTCCATAGCACTAAGCCATGGCAGCTAAAGTGGTGCCAAACTGCATTAATTCTACAGTGTAGATGCACCCTCAGGCTTCATTTGGCCTGAACCTGTTGCTCAATGCATGAGCTACTATGTAAAATAATATTCCAGATAGTTAATCCTTTTCTGCTTTATCACCTCAAGTCAAAGAAAAGTCTACCGTTTCGTTGGCTGAGGCAACAAGAGCAGAGGATGCTTGGCCATATCTCAGTGACGCCACAAATTGCCAGCACAGGTCCAGGGATTAGATCATTGCCTCTCAAGGACACATTTGTGCCACATTATTCTATCCTCATCGTTTCTTGGAAATTCAGTGCAAGCCAGCAGCTGATAAGCTTGCAGGCAAGACCATCACTTTGAGCAGCACCGGACAAGGTGACCTCCACATTTCTTCCAGCTCTGTGCTATCGTGTCTGATCTGACCCTCTGCTAGACACAGGAACACGACGTTCAAGGGAATCAAAAGCATTTACCTCCTCAGTGATGTCAACCGAGGGGTCATCGGCGTCACTGGCGCTGCTGAGAGACTGATTGTCTGAAGTGCTATTTTCATCCTCTTCTTCATCCAGGACTTTGAGATCGTCGGCATCAATGATGCCAACAAGCTCCTCATCCTCCCCCCCAACAGGTGGGCTTTCTACTTCTGCCCTTGGGCAAGCATCACCCGTCCCGTCTAACTGAATGATGGTTTTAAGGTCGGTGGCTATATCCTTTGGGGCCTGCATATCAGGGTCCATCTGGACACTCGGATTTAGCTGGAAGGAAGGAATAAATGTGGGTAAATATGAGACAGTCAACACGATGCAGTGGTTTGAGCACTGGACTATGACTGTGGAAAGTAGGGTTCGATTCCCTGCACAAAAACCCACCTTGGACAAATCACACACTCTCCGCCCCAGAAAAACTCATGATAGGGTCAACCTAAGTCAGAAAGGACTCAAAAGTCATCAGTTGGGGACCCCTCCTCCCAGCACCAACTGCTGCTCTGGACCAGAGTGAAGGGGGGAGGGGGGCAGGGGACAGTTCCACCTTGTTTCCTGTGCTATTCTAATAGTATAATATAATGTAATATAGTATATTGTATATACATATAATATTTATAATATTATAATGTAATACAATATAATACTAATAATAATGATATTATCATTATATATTTTATATTACATGTAATATTACTAATAATATTACAATATAATGGTTGTTGTTGTTGTTCATTCGTTCAGTCGTCTCCGACTCTTCGTGACCTCATGGACCAGCCCACGCCAGAGCTCCCTGTCGGCCGTTACCACCCCCAGCTCCCTCAAGGTCAGTCCAGTCACTTCAAGGATGCCATCCATCCATCTTGCCCTTGGTCGGCCCCTCTTCCTTTTGCCTTCCACTTTCCCCAGCATAATTGTCTTCTCTAGGCTTTCCTGTCTCCTCATGATGTGGCCAAAGTACTGTCAATTGGTCTCTAGATCTATTCCTCCAGGAGCAGTAGGGCTTTATCCTGGGGCGGATGATGTTGATCTTATGGCAGACAAGTGACTCTCAGAACTCGCAACACCCAGTGATTCAAAGCACGATCTTCTCGTGATAGCCTCCTAAGGTCATGTATCTCAATGAGGTTAACAGGCGTACATGTGTTTGATATGTTATATTGTCGCTTTTATGTATTGTCACATAGCCTGTACTATTTTATCTGCATGTGAGGTATATATGCTCTTGCTCCGAAGAACGGCCTCTTGATCTCTCGGCCATAGTCTTATGTCAGTATACGCCAGTTTCTTTCCTCCCTCTCCACAGATTTCACAGCTTGTATAGCTACTCCCTTTCTTTTATTTTCCCTTTCCCCT